GGGGAGGGGAGGGCATGACCTGATCACGTCAGCTGACTGAGAGAGATTATATTGCCGCTTATGTGTTTGTATATTATCGCCGGCTCGGTGTTCGCACTTTCGTTGAGTTTGCTTCATCCTCCCTCCACCTGTCTCCCCGCGTGCCTGCATCTCTATCGTTCGCTGATGCCGCCGGTGTAGCATAGTATACATCCTCCTATAGCACACGTCCCCTCTATTATTATTATTATTATTATTATTATTTTATTTATTCATGTTGCGCTTTTTTACATAAAATGATCAAAAGCGCAGCACATCCATATCGAAAACGACTGAACAATCTACATTGCACATTGGGCATGTCTAGCAGGTAGTGTCATTATTGTGACTCGAACCCATGCACAATGTAGAGGGGGCGTGTGCTATAAAGGGGATGCATAAGGGTAATGGGATGCATAATAGTTTTAGGTGGGAGTCGGTTGGAGTCGTGATCAGGGTCAAGCTGTTTGGTGCGCGTGTTCTGAAATATTATTTACTTGCTGAACACAACTCTGAGGTTGTATTCAGAGCAACAAGAAGAGATTCATTGTATCAACAAGGTGGTAATCTGAGCTTTCTATTTCAAATCCTAAATTACATTATATATACACTCTAGTGTAACAAGCCAATTCGTGATCATTGGTTGTAAAAGTTGTAAAAGTAAAATGATCACTGTTGTTGATAGTGGTTGTGAAAGCCACAGACGTCACAGTGTGGTCGTAAGCAACTGCTACACCGGAGCCGGTCGTCAATGGCGTCGGCGTACGTAGCTCTCCCAGGAGTGTCGGCGTTCGTGCTGGACAGCCAGGGAGCGTGGCCTGCTCAACGAGTTATGCGTAGATATCAGGAGTAGATAATACCTATTATCTACTCCTGGCAGATATGCTGTAATGTAGTAGATATAGGGCAGACGCTAATTCGTCATAATATGTCACTAGTTATAATGGCTACGCGAAGTACGCATCTAACGTCAAACGACGTCCTATCTAGTATATTATCATGAACTATAATGTTTTTTGTGTATCTTTCTTTTCATATCTATGTCCCCTACGCCTATTCGATATACATTCGGTTTTTTCCTACCTAATTCTGATTATGGGTCTTTATGTTTATGGTCATGTTCATATTTATGTTTCTTTATGCTCGTGTATATTTTTACGCTTACGATATTTTATAGATACATATTTTATTTATGCCTGTTATTTCTAAGTATGTTACATATTTATATTATATTCTATCATGATCTATATTATATTTTCTTCTATGTTTACGTCCACGTTTCAGTTTGTGCTCTTGATGTTATATAGGAGATATATACGGGCATGTGACGTATATGCAAACTCAGTACCGCGTAGGCGTCAAGTGGAAACGCAGGTCAAGCTCAGCTAATTGAATCCCTCTGCTCTTGGCAGCCGTTGGCAAGTGGCTGCTTTGCTGATCCAAATACACGCGCTGTGTAGACTCCCGCGTGGGCGTGGGGACTGGTGCTTCTCTGCCCGAGCGAAGCGGAGGACCTCTGGGTCAAAGTGTACTAGTAACTGGTTGATGGGCGACGAATTCATGCGGATCTGTGGCGTGATATTGTTGTATTCTACTTGGTGGGTGACGCACGATGTCGGATGTCCGACATCAGTCTTCTCGCTGTTCCTTTCTAGGTGCCTTCACTATCTGCTGTCTTCATCTCTCTCGATATCTCTCTTTTGCTATCTCGTTATTTATCTCTTCCTCCATATTGATATCTCTTTCTCTCTCTCTCTCTCTCTCTCTCTCTCTCTCTCTCTCTCTCTC